CTATAAAACCATTTCTCAGAACACCTAGTCAGAGGATATAACCAACCCTGAACATTAAGCCAGTGTCCAAATATTACACAAATTAAAGGCAGTCGCCAGCCTCAACAAATTGACTTTAAAGGCCAAGAGAGACGGGAGACAATGCAGCATTTTTAGAAAACTAAAATAATTTACATAGACATTAGATCTAAGAATGAACGGTACATCACGTACCAAGATTACATTTATTAGATTAAAATAATAGCACCAGGATTTCTAGTTAAATCATGATTACATCCCGACTGGTATTTTTCAAATTCCATAACCAAATACAGCATTATTATGAATGCCATTCCCTAACTGATTACAAAATATAGGTTCATGGACGCCGCATTAAAACTTCAAAGGTGATTATAAATTGATGTTCGGGGCACTGATCTAAAACACCTATGTGTAATGATAGAAAACAAAAATAGTAAATAAGTAAGTTAGAATGTTGCACATGTCCCTGCAGGTAGTGTCTAAAAGTCATCACAAGGTAAAATGATTTGGAAGTCTATGGGTATACTAGCTACATAAACCAGTTTTTTGTTTTTTTTTGCACTATATGGATGACAGCGCTCGTGCGTATATGTAAAAGGAGCTGAATGTATCAGTGATTGAAACAAGTATCTTTTTTAAGTATGCAGTACCGGTAGATTGCAAAACAGTTTGCGAATAACATTACGTTGCATGGTAAAGAGACACCTGAAGGAATAGATTTCACTAAGTTACTGTGACCCAACTAACAAGCAGCCCTGTAAAATTTCAACTGCCTACCAATCGAACATTTCTCTGATTGAATCTGTAATTAAAGCGAAATAATGCAACGACAAGACACTGACATCTGGTAAAGAGTCCCAATGAAACCCCCACCCCCACACCTTTCTGTTACATAATCTCTTGACAAACATTCCAGTAAATTTTAGAATTAATTCCTAACTTCCAGCTTCAAAAAAATAAATAAACTATATTACAAGACAGTAATTTTATGATATTAATCTCTCCCCTTCCCTCCCTTGAATTAATCATCTATAAAAATTTGCAAGACTGGTTTAAGGTGTGCACTATGCAACAAATTACGGAGTAATAATTTCATTTGATTAGCTAATACTAATCTTTTAACAGTACTGCAATATTGATAGAAATGAATTTATCAAATCTCCAGAAGGGGACAAGAGTTGCATAGTATTATAAAGAGTTAAATTTTATTCAAATACATAAAAGGGATTTTTTTTTCTCTTTTGGCCTTAAAAATTGAGAGCTGGCGTTCAATTTGAAGTCTCAATTGATACATAATATAGAGATGACATTGACTAGTTTACTGTCCCTGTCATGTGTCAGTCTGGAGTAATTCCAAACTGATGTGTAAATGTCAGTATTTAAAACGTCAAAAAAAAAAATGTCCTAGCATTCAAAATTATCAAAGTTAACCAATTACAGAATTACAAATGTAATCAACTATCTAAATAGTAATTACTATAGTCTATTACTAAGGAGGCATGTAATGAAATAGCTTCTGAGCACAGCGCTACTATTCTAATATCAACAGGCATTACACAAGACCCCCCTTAAAGGTCACACATGCTGAGACTTTTTTTTGGGATGTTGTCCAATCTTTTACAGCTATTTTTTCTTACCCAAATTGAAACTACCGTATGTTAAACTGTTCATGAAATTCAGTGACATGCAACTGCTTTTTGCATTTCTGAAGTACCAAATCATTGCGCCAACTTCCAAAGAAAGTACCAAGATGTGTGACCTTTCGGGGTCATCGGTGGGTATAACTTTGATTATTCTGAACAAAGGTGGTTGTTGTGAATCGTATGTATATGAGGTATGTCTGCATTATTGTGTATGCATGCATGTACGTTGCTGTATGCAATGTGAATGCGTGCTTAGAATGCAATCAACCCCCAATGAATCTACTACTAAAATTGGTTGGAAAATTTCATCAACCCGTAGCCAATTAATTAACAATAATAATTAAGTATATCCCTTTAAGGGGGACACGTGAAAGCTGTTATCCTGGTTGCATGAGTAAAATGCTCATATGCATCACATGGAATTTCACAGACACTGTATGCGCTGACGGTGGTATCAATTTTGTAAATTTAAGATGACCTGAATAGAATTTCTGAAACAGAATCGTAGATGATTTGCATACATGTCGTTGCCATGGAGAACATGGCGACATAGCCCACTGAGGTCATAAAGCCAGAGAGCCTGAATTCTTGCCAACAGCTGTCACACGTGACTACTTCCCATGCAATAACTTAAAATTCAAGGAATCTCTTCAACCTGACAAGGAAATAAAATTAAGGAATTTACACGACTCCAGCAACCAGGATAAAACTAAACACAATTTATATACATTTATAGGGGTGAATTTACCAAGTGAGTACCAGGACTGCAGCAGGACGAAAAAGTTCTTTGTACAGCCTCTATTGATTCTATGCACCACAACCTAAAGAACTTTTTTATTCCTTATGCCACTCACAAAAAAAAAAAAAAAAAGACTATCAAATCAATTTAGGAGACACTACTTGCGTTTTGGCAAGAACATTTTTCAAGACGTTGAACACATAGTGGTGTGGCATACTGGTATTACTTACAAAGGTAAACACCCCCTACCCCTTTTCTCGAAGGCATTACAACTGCAATGTGTACGACTGCCAACTGAAAAAAAAAAGGTTGTCAGGTAAATAGGATTTTGGTTTAGCTATATATGTCAACACCTCAGTATTTCAGATAGTAAGCAAAAATATTTTTGATAAAGTGCGAAACAAATACAAGTAGTAGGTTAGCAGATGTTAGTTGAAATTGGTGAATAGGCAAGAGCAGCCTCTGCCAAGTCGACAAAGTAAGGATTGGTTAGTATGTGCGAGCGGGAAATGATTAATATGCAAGAAAGTAATAGTCAGGTAGACATTGGTTGCAAATTAGTTTGCTTAAGTAGAGAGTGGTTAGTAGATATTTGTAGAAATTGGTTAAACAGCATCAGTTTCAACTATTCAGTCGGCACAGCCAGAAAGTTGACAGAAGGCATCAGTGGTAAGAAGTTAATAGGTATCGGTGGTTGTTAATTAGTAGTAATGCTAAACTAGTATGTAAATATTAGTTATTTTAAGTCTAAAGCTAAATTCTGCTGAATATTTTTAGCTCAAAATCAATTAATTCATTTGTGAAAATAAGAGCCTACAGGGTCCCATTTGGAACAGAGACATGTATCTAGGAGATATTTTGTACTGAAATACTGAGGTAGGACGTACAAATTCATTGGGGGTATATGTTAATATACCAGAAGACACACATTTAATTCACCATAAGACTCCTTAATAATTCTATACAAATACTAAATCTAACATCTATATGACACTTTCACATCACTGTACTCAAGGATAACAAAGTGTATTTTCCTGCTTTTTTTTTTTAATGAGGTGTGACGAGTCCTAAAATGTGCACATGTGGTGTCAAATTAAAATATTTTGGAAATCAAAATATATAAATTATATAAAAACGCAAAACCAATGGACAATTTTTGTAACAAATGTGAGAATGCCATTGAATGCTTATAGTACAATTATTTCCAACAATGAACACCAATTTGCTTCACACCCAATTACAATGTACACTTATAAATTTGAACCGAAAATTATCCGTGAGACAATGAGCTGTAGTGTCACACATCATGTACTGTAATTCCTCTATTAGAAGTGCATCTACAATAAAAATGCATGGAAGTCAATTTTTGTGATGTGATTCTAAAAATTGTGTAGATGTTCTCCACGTTATCCAATTGATGGATGCAGAGTATTGAGTTTCTGCAATACTTCTTAGGTACGGCACAACACAAAGATGAGCAACATGAGTGCATCTAGTTTTACAACATCCGTGAAAAAAAATTGGACTCGAAGAGGTCCTATCATTTGAGGCTCTAGAATTACTAATAAATATGCAATTAACATAAAGCGCATAGTTTTAAGTGTCTGCATTCCTAATAGAGGAAGTACGATACAGGATTGCATAACAACTTAGCCCTTTGAACACAACATTTTGCCACAATGTAATATCAATTGTATGTTTTTTGAAGGAACAAAAAATGGTTTTCTGAAAACTAACAGTTGATGTTTGGTGTTCAAAGGGTTAACAAAAAACACTAATTCAGCTCAACTAATTTTGATTTACTTCAATATTTAAGATTCATCTCATCCATGAATGCAGAGCTGCCATTCAGCGACTTTTCTCCAAAATAGGTTAAATTTGGCATGTAAGCGTTTCACACAAAATATGGATTGTGAATCAACTGTGATTTACGTTCTTCTAATTGCCTGCTTTCATGTCAAACCAAATGACAGGCGGATAGCTTTTAGACCTACATTAATGCATAAATATCACCCTCAAGACGGGAGGGTTTTTCATGTTGATTGTGTAGATCTAAGATTAAAAGTTAAAGAGACCATTCTAATATTTAGATCCACTGCTACAGCAGGGATTACGTAGCCAGGAATTGCAAAGTATTGCAGCTCGACTATAGGTTTGCGGTATTAGCAATGTTACTGCTGAGCAGCAGGAGTTACCACAATAATCCAGAGTACAAATATGTGAGCATCAATTAAATTCAGCACAAAACATGAGGTCCGTGAGACTAAAGCTATTCAGATGGAAAAGTCTTCTATTTTTTTTTTATCCAATGTTCATCAGTCATGCACTGCAAATATTATTGATAGAGTTTAGCGTTTTGGTGGTGCATCTTATACTCAGCATACATAAAGCAATATTGATGAGTCGCAAAACAATTTGCGACAGGAATTGGGATAAGCTTGAAACTTGACCATCATTTCAAAGGCACGAATTTTTCTCTAAACTCCATTAAAACTTACATTCCAACAGCACATCTGAATGACATTCTATTTCTACCACATAATCATCAGAAATGTGTATAGAAAAGTTCTCAATGGGATTTTCTTCATTTTTTTTTTTCCACTTTTTTTTTTCTTTGGTTTTGTTATTTTCTAAGAAAAAAGGGTGTAATCTTCCAAAATGAAATTTACCAACGTAAATAAGTATGAGGTGTTTTTTCAGGGTGAAAAATCATTATTTTTTTTTTTTTTTACTCCCACTGATCACAATTTCCAGTGTTAACGATGTTTTAATTAGTTGCTGATACAGTGCAGGATAGAGGAGTGTTCAAAACTGGAATCCACCCATAGGAACATTTTCCTGACCACCAAATTGGAACTGCTCTGCATTCTGGTCCACTTGCGGGGCAATCTTGGCATCCTCCTCTTCTGAGCCAAAGTAATGTTCGATTATATCAAATGCTTTCTGATATATATCTTGGTTTTCATGACTCTGCAGAAACTCTATCTTGTCAAGGCCTGCCAAAGAGATGTGCAGTGCAGTGTAGTGAATTGATTAAACCAAATTTCGAAAGAGTTATGCATAGAAATATATTCAAACTTTCAAAATAATTCTGTTGAACATTTAGTGCTAAAATCAATTGCAAGATTTTTCAACAATAAAAAAATCACAAAAATATTTTGATCAACACCTGCAATCCATGTCATTTATGAATGAGCAAAACTTTTAGAGGAGAAAATAGTGTAAGTCAATCTTTGCTTTAACTATTCAAATTTTCACAAATTAAGTAACACAGACAGCTCACACAACTTCAGCATAAAAAAGATATGCGTTCTAAGGTTTGCAAGTCCACAAATGCCTTGAAACAATTTTTTATTAGCCAAGTAATTTCACTGAAAAGGCAAGTACCGTAAAATTCCTTTTTGAGGCCGCATCTTTAATAGAAGCCGCACCCCTAACTTGAGACATTGTTTCATGTTGAAATTGATATGTTTTGATCCCAGGGAAAAGTCTGCAATATAAGCCGCATCCCAAACTTTCACAAACCAAACAGCCACCACATATTTCAGAAAAAAATATACCATTTAATTTTAAATTAAGGCATAATTTTTCGAACATTTCAATGATTCCTGTCGCTTAAATTAGAGTCTAATTAAGGTTTTCCGTAGTCATTTACGCTTATTCCAGAGTACAGGTTTATTGTGGGTAACGTGACTGGGTAAACTGCGTTTCCACAGTGAGCTGTTATTATCTTCAAAAGTGTTAAATTCTTCTTCAATGCTCAGCTTATCTTTCGAAAACAACTAATTTCTTGATTTAAAAAAAAAAATCATGCCGTTTTTCCATCAAAATCAAACCCAAACGATCGCAGTACAACGACGGTAAATCTCTTCCCTGTTTCGTTTACCATGAGGTCGCTGAACTACATTAACATATTTAAATGAGCTATGGTAATTTAATCACGTTGGCACCATCCAGCGTTTCGATTGGTTAATTAGCGACTTGGCCTATCAGGTCAACATAACAGTTTCAAGTCACTAAAGATGTTTGAACTAACATGGCGGATATCGTATCGGTCAAGCATTTATATGTGACCAAAATCATTCGCTTGCGGTGAAACTAAGTTGAATTTTCACAACAATTCAACGAATTTATTTTTGTACATTATTGTAATCACTACTGATTAATAATCAGCAATTGTAACACTTCGAAAACAAGTAAGTTATTCACTTGTGTGAAACGCAGCATGACCGTTACCGTGATCATTTGCTACTAAGAATGCATTCGTTTTTGTTTTGACTTCTTTTAGAATATACTTTTCGTTATCAAAAAAAAGAAAATAAATATATACCGTACTCGACCGCGTAAGCGCCCAGGGGCCTCAACTCAGAAAATCACGATTTTTTAGGGGTGGGCGCTTACCCGAGCACCCCCCTCGAAAAAGAGTGCAAATGAAAAATGTTATTCATCAAGTGACAGATTATGTCTTTGAGGGAAATCAAATTACGAAATTAGTTGAGTCGTCATTAATTTTCACAATGAAGGAACAGAAATGATCACAAAAAATGTGCACATTTTATTACAATATTAATTACGTACCACCAGAATTTACGAAATTAAAAACATTTGAGTCTGTTGAAACACAGTCGAAGTCAAAATTGTCATATTATCTCCACTGATGAAGGTGTTGGATCGTACGCAAACTCTCGATGAAAATCACTTTCCGCCATGATGCATTTGCAGATTTCACCTGCAGCGGCGTCCTTTGACCTAATGGGTCAAGTTGGTTATTAACCAATCACAATGCTGTGTTGTACTGACGCAATTCTTCGGAAATTCCCGAAGACTTTCCGGTAACGCAATGCGGAAGTGAATTATCGATGTCGAAGTACGATCTGTTGGAATTGATACAAATCTATTTGTAGATATTATTTATTGTGCAGTATGTTATACAGTGTGAAATTTCGTTTGTGTACAAGTTTGTCTGCGTGTAAAAATCCGAAAGTGCCTTAGAATCGCAACAAAGTTGCAATCGAGTGTCGTGCATCTCATTAGCATATCATTATCCCTTCTGGCCTTTGTTTTCTGAAAAAAATTCCAACTGTTATCGAAGTGAATGCTCTAATTAAAGCCGCACCAAGACTTCACGCATCTGAATTCGTCCATTGGAAAAATCAATTTTAATTAAAGCCGCGGCCTCAAAAAGGAATTTTACGGTACTACATACTGCTTCCAACTGTCAATACAGAACAAAAGGAAGTAAACTCCCATTTATTGGCCAGCTTAAACATGTAGGTTTCCCACAAATCGCACATCTCAAGATGACTGACATTAATGATCAGGTCATTCTTGATCAAACAATTAAATAGTCAACTGGGAGAGATGAATTGTTTCAGTTACGAACATTGAGTTACGTACATCGGTTCACTCTCAATCAAAGTTTGAGTTGCTAAATTAAACAATAACAATTTATGTTGCCTGTAACTCAAGTTTGGTCAACTGTTAAATAAACAACGAGTAATATTTTGGGCGTGGTTTCGTGAAAGTGGTAGTGGTAATTTTTATAACTTGATGTTTTTGTGACTCTGTGTTGATAAATCGATGTTCATAACTCCAACAATTCAGCAACTGTGATACTGTTTACTGACAATCATTTTTCAGCATTACTGAAAAACTTGTGCATTTAACTTTCTCTATACATATTAATATCAGAGCTGTGTCCTCTCAAGCTCCTGTATGGCTCGGAAAGCTGGAGAATGGCAGCGAGTGACATCAAGCAGCTGTCAGTCTTCCACACAAAAAATCTGAGAAGAATCTGTAGGATTTTTTGACCCAACACAATATCTAACCATGACCTACTTAATAGATACCAGCAAGAAAGCATGGACAACATCATAGCGAGACGGCGCTGGAACCGGATTGGGCACGTGATGAGGAGGGAACCAAACAGCATCCCAAAAGTAGCCCTACACTGGACACCAGAGGGAAAACGAAAGGAAGAGCAACCCAAAACTACCTGGCGACGGACGGTAGAGAAGGAAATGAAAGCTATGAACTTGACCTGCAGATGTGTCCAGAAAACGTCTCAAAACAGGAGTGGAGAGCCTTTGTTGCTGTCCTACATATCACTTATGCTTAATGGGCAGTAAGTAAATACACATATTAATCCACTTTGAAATGATACATATGCTACGTTCACAGGACAGCATTTTATCGAAGCCCAACTGCTCGAGCCGGCTCGAGCCAGCAAAAATGGCCGTGTAAATGCGTTCGGCTCGAGCCAAGTTCGACTCCACTAAACCCTCGGGGTTGAACTCCGATAGGGTTGAGTCCCGACATGGCTCCAATCGTGTAAACGCATCGGGGCCCAACTATCGGAGACGAAATCACGCCCCCAATCGTCATCTTCGAGTAACCTCTCATTTCAATTATGGCAGAGACAACATTTTTCATAATTTCACGCAATTTTTAAAGACACTAAAGATAAAAATCGTAGTAGCGATCGCGGTACGGTGACATGTTCCTGGTAGGTTTAGATTCTTCCATAGTCCCTCTATGATAGATAGAGAGAATCTGTGATTCTTCCTAGTAGTTCAGATATCACTACAGTTGAATAGTTACAAAATGGCAATTTTGCATGACAATAACGCATTTTAGCTGCTCTGTTTCCTGTTTATTCAAGATACTAGTACCTAAATCATAATACCAGTCATTGTATTTTCTACCTCCATGCTCAGGCTTTTTTTTCTCCTAGCTCAACACTAATTATTCAAGGGCACTGTTGCGCTCGGCTCTGATCGAATTAAATCTAACTCTGGCAGATCTCGGCTCTCATTCGGCTCCCGACCGTATGAACGCATTGTAAATAATCTCCTGTTAATCCGTGGGAGGAGCAGTAGTTCAGCTCCGATAGAATGCTGCCGTGTGAACATAGCAATAGACTTACCATAACATTCCTCAACCATGACAGCATAGGGATTAACACCACCATTAGCTTTAGCATCTTGATCACCTAATCTTAATATGCTTTCTAGCCCACTCAAAGCAACCTGCACAATTTTGGCATCCATTACAGTCAATAAATCACACAGTGGTTGTATAGCACCTTGATCGATTATAAACCTGTAAATTATAAATCATTTACATCATGATTTTGACAGTTGCAATTATACTGAATATAAATATTAATTACTGTAAAATACTTTGTTTTCGCTATTTTCGCTGAAGGGATGATTCAGCAAAAATTAAATGAAATCCAAGCAAAAATACCCTTTTTCCTACATTTTACATTATCAAAAATCAGTGAAACAGTCGGCCATTTTGAATCTTATCTGAAAAACAAAATTATTTGATTTTGATGATTTTTTAGCACAAAAATGGCCGCCATTCGGCCATCTTGAATCAGATCGTAAAACAAAATGATGTGCATCAAGGTCCTATAAGTCTAATGTATATACCAAGTTTAAACAAAATCCATCTGTCAATGGCTGAGAAATGCTTGTTTTTGATGATTTTAAGCACAAAAATGGCCGCCATTCGGCCATCTTGAATCAGATCGTGAAACAAATTGACGTGCATATGTATACTATCATGTATGATGTATGTGTGAAGTTTGATTGTGATTGGTCCAGGCATTTTTAAGATACAGGTCCGGACGCACGCACAGACGCACGCACACACAGACACACGGAGGTCAAAACATAAGTCCCCGTTTTCGGACTGCGTCCGAACGGGGACTAATAATGTACTTTACAGTTTACAGAATGAATTTTGGGGAGTTCCGGCCACATAAATTGGTTGACCACTTTTACAATGTAATATATGTACATGTAGCATACCTAATAAGTTCTGGGGTTCCACCAGACAGCGCATTTGTTATAGCCCATGCAGCTTCTTTCCTAGTCTTGAATTCAGCTTTACCAAGTATATCAATTAACACTGGTATTATATTGGCGTCAATGACAGCCTACAAACATATACATAGAAAGTACATTGTCATACATGAGAAGAGAACACCAACTAACTAATTCTCTTGTTCACTACATATGGCTAGCAAAGGCATACCCACTGTACCTCAACAAAGCCTGTTCAGTGAATATGAATTAAAGTGCGCCCTCATCTGGCCATTTGTTTTTTTAATTAGCTACAACAGCTCTGATTGGGCTAAAGTTTTGAGGCACTCGCAACTAACAGCATGCATGCCACCACACACATGATTATTTCCTATGTACTTTTCTACTTATTTACTTACAGCAAGTGTCCTTCGAACAATATTCATTGCAATAGGAATTTGATGCAAGTGAGAGGTGAGTTGACATCTATATCCTCTATGATGATCACTGTGCTCAAATTTGTGTAGCCTTACCTGAATCTGCGCCCTATTTCCAGCTGTGATATTAGATATTGTCCAGCAGGCTTCTTTCCTGATTGATTCTTTATGGCTACTCAGCAGATGCAGTAAACAAGGGAGTGCCCCACAATTAAGAATTACCTAGTCAAGAGACAACAATGTCACATTACACAGAGTCTAATAACAGGTTGTACATGTATGGTTGACAGTAATTGGTATTCATGTCCTCTCCACAGAGTGCCCCACAATTAGGAATTGCCCTATATGAGGTAGTTCTGTGTAAAACAATTGTAATACACAAAGTACAATTGGTTATGGATCCACTGAATATTAATACAGGTTGAATTCTGCATCCACAAGATTCTGAGATATCTCACATGCCTTTGATTAGTTAACTACTTGACCATATGTCATCATTGTGTGGTACAGTCTTTGCTTGCAAGAATCTCTCAGTTGCATAATTTTGAATTTCTGATGACATCTAAATTATTTTTTTTAATGCCCATCTCGGACCTGATGTTATTTTTTGGCAGATTTGTGTAGTATCAGCAATGTTTTGTTATCTGTTTTATTCAGAATAATTACTGAATCAAACAAAATTTATCCTATTAAAGGCCCAGTAGCTGTAATGAAAACGTCTCTAACGGCGTTCTAAATAACTATTTTGGGTTGAAAACTTGTTGCATTTATCTTTGAAATTGCTTATCTACTGTTATAATAAAATGTACATCGATCTCTGTGCGGATAC